GAAGGGGGAGGCGGAGGGGGGCTCAATGAGTGCCTCTGGGAGGGGAGGATTTGAGTGGCCTTTTACTGCTTTTTTTAAGGGGGGGTTAGGGATGGAAATTCGCTGTACGATGATTTGAAGTGATTTGTGCGTGATTAGTGTTGCTTGATCAAGTAACAAATATGGAAGGGAAAAAAAAATTCGTGCCTTACGAACTGTTATCCTAGTCATCAGAAGTTGTGATGATAAGCATATACGTCTGTACTCTTATTTAAGCTTTTCGTTCTATTATTTTTCGAAACCAACCAATTATACACTTCAATCTTTTTTTTTTTTTTTTTTTTTTTGTTGGTAATTGAATATTGGTCCCTTGCATCAATCTTCATTGCCAAATAGTCCCTTGAATCTTCATTTATATTGCAATTCTGTCACTGCTAATTTCTCTAACTCTTGTTGAGTTAGGCCTTAACCCGACATCTTAAATTATCCGAGTGACCCTCGAGTTTTCTGCACGGGGTTTTTTGTAACGGTAGTTAGGAACAAAGTGTTGGATTTAATCTAATAAATCTAATTGTGGGCACATATGATTAATCAATGTGTATTGCTATCTTTTAGGATAACCCACTAAAGTGATCAATCAAGTTGAGTTAATGGGTATTTAAATAAGTCATGAGGTTATATGTGCAGATACCAGGTTGTAATTATGATTTGTTGAGGGGCTAAATTACAAAAGTACAACATCTATAAATAAGGGGTTATGGTTCTTAATCTAGGGTTACATTATCTAATTCTCTTCACCCCCATCTAGAGAGAAATTCGGCTATAGAGAAAACCTTAAGGTTAGAAGATCCAAAACCCATCTCAGGTTTCATCTATGGATTCAGGTATAAGCTTTCGCTCATTTGATTCTTGTTAATCTCTTCGAATTAATCATGGCTTTATGGTTTTAGATCTCAAGTTTTTTTTATAAGATCTATCACAAAGCTGTTGTAACAAGCTCTGGATTGGGCTTGAAGAAACTCATGGTCGCCGGAGAAGAAAAAAATTGGTGGGTTCCAGCCATAAACTTGCTACGATAAGTTTTTAAATGATGATGTTAATCATTGGCGGGAGTATAATGAGAAAACAATCTAATTCGATTAAACTTAACAAAAGTTCATCTCATAAATAATGTCACCTAAGAAGAGGGACAAATTTTATCATCATTAAAAAAAAGAACAAGAGGGAGTGATTTGCTAAAAAAAATTAAAGATTTAAGGGACTAATAAGCAAATACTTGGATTTGAGTAACTGTTTGGTAATTAAGGATAATTTACGGGACTAATATGCAACTACTCAGTTTTCTATAGAAAAAAAAGCTTGTTCTGTTGGATAACAGCTTAGTGCTTAGTAATAATAATCAGAACAACTAAGGATATTCTAAATTTTAATACCGGTGAGGCTTTAATATTGTATAGATAATCCGTCATTCTCACACTTAAAAACCAAAATCATCTATAACACCCAACAATACATGATATAATCCATATATTTGGACCTTGAAAGATCCATCATACAGAAATTATAGGTGCAATTAAGATCCTCTTTGGGAATAATATGATTTAAGGAGTCAAAAAAGGGAAAAGGGGAAAAAAAACTTCAAGACTCTTATGAAGTAACCAGTGACGGTTGAAAATCGCTATGATTGCTATGATCGCTATGTTCAATAGAGGATCTCTGTCACACAGTTTTATCCTAACACATTGATAAATTTTTTTGTTGTTGATTATACCTTCAATATTTCAGGGAAAATATGAGAGCATCAAAATCTAAAGATTTTGTGTGTAAATTTAAAGGTCTTTTAGAAAGTCACAATCCAAATTATCAATGAAACAATAAATAAAAAAGGAGGAAAAAAGTATTTTAAAAAAACAAAGAAACAATAGAAGGAAAATAAAGTGACTGGGCCTCGGTGACTACGTACCCATTTTATTTGGTCATGGGCTGGGCTTGACACGGGACGACAACAACAATAAATAGGACCGAGTCTCGTCGTCTAGTTAATTAACAGCAGCTGTTGCTGCGTCTCCTTCTCTCTTCGCCGCCGACAGTAAAACCTAAGTTCGAAAAAAAATGCTGAGGCCAGTCTGGAGATCATGGAGAAATAATGCTCAGAACCGCTCACTTTCCTCATTTGTCCAACGAACTTGCGGCTTCCACTGTGGGCAGGTAATTTTTTTTCTAAAAATTCTTCTGTGTTCTTCAGTTTACTTCCATTTATCTCAATTCGGAACGCAGGCGAAGGACTTAAACCCTAATCCCCATTCTCCGAAAACCCTAAATCTTTGCTTAAAACCCTAGCAACGGCTAATTTTGAAGCCTGTCTAAATTTGACGAGCCCTGATGTATTCTCACGATATGTTTTTTCCCCCCCGCGATATTTACCCTATATAAAAAGAACCCCTTGAAGATCGTATATTTAAGATGCCCTGAGACTGGTACGTGCCTTAACTGATGACCCAGCTAATCTTCGGAACTCCTCAGCTGACGAATTCTTCTGCAGCCAGAAATCCTCTCAAATTCTAAACCTTAGAATCAATGTCGAAATGCTCCAATCCTCATCTCCTCTTGACGTTAACTCAAAAAAAAAAAAAAAAAATTGCAGAAGATCAACGTTGCCAATCAGGGAATAACCTCGGGATCAAGGACGCATTGGGTCTGTTTGATCAAATGCTCCAATCAGATCCCGAACCGTCAATTTTCTCATTCAATATCCTGCTCACTTCAGTCCTCAGAACTATGAAGAAGGCCCACCGCCAAAACCCGAATCTAATCACCCCTCTGTGCAATAAGATGAACTGGGTCGGAGGCATTTCGCCTGGTGACTTCACCTATGGCGTCTTGAT